CCTTAGCCGGTCGCAGCGACTAATGTAAAATGGAGTACAACAAATACTATATTCCGGCGACTTTATCCTTTAATCCAGGATAATCAGAAGACGCTAGAAAATTTACACCAGTGATCAGTTTCCGAATTAGGAAATATTTTTAAATGTTTTATTGTTTTTTTTTTTTATTTATATATGTTTTTTTAAATCATTGCACTCAAACAAGGCAATAAAGCCACTAAGAAACAAAGGGTTACTGAGTGTGAAAGAATATGAGAAAAACAAATCACTATTAAGAGGAGAGATAAAAAAAAGAACAATAAATTAAAAAAGCAAAAGATAACGAGCGTCCTGGGTTAGACGATAAACTACGTCCGACAGCAAGGCCTCTGATCAGAAAGTGTTGAGGAGCGTGGAACTACCACTTAATTGGTGATGTTTCCAGGTCCACCCTGAACCGGGGTGGTAGCACCTGTTAGGGTCCCAACTGGGGCTCAAAACACTATGAAAGTGTAAAAATAGGTATTAATTAAATTTTTTGAGGAAAAATTAATACCAGCAATACATTTTTGAAGAAAAAAAATATTACCAGCAATACATTTTTGGAAAAAAATATTAGCAGCAACAAAAATTTTGTCAGCATTAAATAATCCACTGAGATGTTGATATGCCGTAAAACAAACCAAACGAAATCAAAAGATAACGCTTGATATTGCATTTACATTTTAGATGATCACAGTTGATTGGGGAGTTCTAAAAGATAGCAGATCGATAGAGGAAACTTTTAGCATAGAACTTCCGGTTACATCTATTCATTTCAACTGCATTAAGGATCAATATCGAATGAGAAACAAGTTTTTACTTAAGAGATATGTTTGTAATTTGGTTAGCAATAAAGAAATTGTTTTTCTGTTAGAGTCAAATTGTTATAGAAACAATGACCTTTGGGTGGAATAATAGGATACCTTTCTGGTAAACAAAGAAAACTGAGAAAAGTTTCATGTGTCAAAAGGGCGGTTTTTCTCTTTACACTGCCATTAACTTATACATCATAGGTAAATGTTTTAAAAATCTATTTTTCGAACCATAATAAAATACTGTATGACGGTTGGCGGTCATACAGTCTTTTACTTTTATGTGCCTTGTCCCTTCAGGATGTAAGTGATCATGGCCCTCCACATCTTCCTTTACCTTGAAGCTCTTAATAAGTTTTGTCTTTTTTTTATTTCATCTAAACTTTGTTCTACCATCTATTTACTCATACTCATCAAGTATGTTACGCGCTGCTTTCCTCTGTAACTCTTTTCTTCAATCTGTCCTGTGAGTATCAGATTTTCCAAGCCCTCAGTCCTCATCACGTTCCCTTGAAATTTCAACTGCTTCTCCTGATGTTACATATGTTTCCTTTTTGTTTCCATTTTCTCTAAAACCTCATTGGTCCATCTCAGCATCTTTCTGTTGTACAGTCGTATCCCATAAATACACATTAAAATTAGACATTCTGTAAATATACACAAGGAAGATCCTTCAGTATCTGTCTATATTTCTGAGATGAGGCATTATGTACACTATTTACATTATTCGGACTATTGTCCTCATCTTTGTCGCCATATTTATTACAACATTTCGGCCTTTCAGTATCTGTCTATATATCTGAGATGAGGTATTATGTACACTGTTTACATTATTCAGTCTACTGTCCTCATCTTTGTTGCCATATTTATTACAAGGACACATGGCACAGTGGATAAAGGCGTTAGTTAGATCCAGTGACAGTACCCAAAGAGTGTTTAGGGTTAAGGCAGTGGAAAACTTGGAGAGGGAAATTAACAGGAGATAACTGATAACTTGGAGAGGGAAATTAACAGGAGATAACTGATAACTGACATCCATTAAAAACATGTCACGCGGAACTAAAACAGTCTACCCCAGGGAGCGAAATAAAGGGTTCAGTTTGACATTTCAACCACCTGAAGAAGGCCAGAGTGTACAATCGCCGAAACGTTGTAATAAATATGGCGTGAAAGATGAGGGCAAATCCTGTTCACCCAATAAATAGGGAGATAGACACTCAAAACATTGAGTGGGATCTTACATAAAATTAAATTAATATTTAAAAAAGATGCCCTCAATCTATTTTAATAAATTTAAATGGCGGAAACAAATGAAAGAATAGTTGTGGAAATGCATTCTTTCAAAATTGATAATTATCGTTTCTTGTTATTATGTGTTTATTTAAATTGCCTTGTTTTATTTTTCACATATTTTTTTTATCATTTTAAGAATAAAATACGTTTTGAAAGTTATTTCTTTATAATATGCTAAATAGTAAATATTTTATTATAGCATGTTCCCATATTTTTTTTAATTTTGTAAATATAAAATTAATCGTATAGTGAATTATAGAAATATTTTTGTAATTCTGTAAATAAATAATTTATTTTTAGAGTTCAGAAATTAAAGTCTATGCAGTTGTAAAAATATTATTTTTCTCGCATCTTTTCATTAGAAACTTGTGAATAAACAATTAAATAATTTTTACATTTTTGTTGGCAGTTCCCAAGAAAAAATATATGAATTCAGTGTTATATATTATTTTTTTAAAGTTTTTAAAATAGCTTTTTAATACAATAAAAACTATTGATTGCATATACGATAAAAATGGTGTGAAAAGAAAAACGTTCTTTTGTCCCATCTTGCATTTTATTAAGGTTACCCGGATCGAAAGGCATAACGGTTCAAAAATTGTCACAATAAAAGGAAAGATTAAAACAAAAGTCTGTATGTAAATAATGGTAAAGGTGATATTTACACACCATACCGATTTGCCTCATCCGAACAAATTAGAGTAGGCATCTCTACTAATTCACCGAAAAAGAGTATACCATGATGAAAAAAGGCTTCAATCTTTTATCATCTAAATGTTTATGTTATTATTAAGAGGAAAGGCCAAAGTATTTTTGATAATTTTATTAAATTTTTTTCATCCTTTCTAGAACATTCAAAATTTTGATTAAAAAGCTTCTTTTCTTTCCTTTTTTTTTTTTTTTTTTTGCATCAGCGGAATACCGTTAAAAAGCATGTCTTAACACCGGTGACTTGTTTTGGAGGTGTTAACTGACATCGATGACAGCTTAGGTCAGGGCAAATTACCGAACGAAAGAACAGAAGTGACATAATTTTTTTTTTTTTTAATCTTAAGTGAACTAATTTAACTACATAGTATTTTTTTAAATTAACAAATACTTTCAGCAATCTAATATTTTATTGATTTTTTTTCTCTTTTTTTTTTTTAGGCACTTTAGCTTTATAGCCTTACGTTTGAAGATGATTTCTGGAAAAATAAAATTCCAAAAACTTACAATAAATTTAAAATTTCATTACTGAGTGTGATAAAATTTCATAAGAGAGGTAACTGATTCTTACGTACATCTCTTATGAAATTTTATGGTATTATTTTATTTATTATCAATTTTTATACTTCAGTTATGAAAATATTTCACAACTGAAATAATATAAAAATTAATAATTAAAAATAATACAATAAAATTTCATAAATAAGATAGGTACTTAATAATTAGGTACCTCTTTTATTTTTATGAAATGTTATTTTTAATGTGTCAATTTTTAATTTCCCTTATTTTTAATATTGTTTTGTTTCCGTCCCTAGAATTGAAACTAAAAAGAAAATAATTAATAAATTGCAGTATGTCTCTCATTGAAAAACAATAAATTAGTTATATTTTAAAAAATTAAATTAAAATATTTATAGAAATAGGTCGTAAAAAAGTAAAACTGTATTCCCGTCACTGTATTCCCGTCACTGTATTCCCGTCACTGTATTCCCGTCAAGAAAGACTACTCTTAAACCATGTGGTATTAAGGTCACTGACGATCATCCTTATGTGGTAAAATTTTATGCACATTCAAAAACAGTGTATAATTCTTTTTAAAATACATGTGCATCGCAAATTGTAATAAGCTTTCAAATTTTATGCTCTGTAAAGTTAGACCTAACTAATAACAGCATTCCCTAAAGTTCACGGATTGAAACTTAATTTTAAAATACTTAACAACTTTATCACATTTTCCATTTAAAATTGAAAAAAAGAAAACAATTCTTTTAAAAATTCATTTTTCATCTTGGCTTCAGACAATATTGTCCTGAACATATATTATTCATGAAAGCCATTGAAACCTTTTCTAATTAAATAATGTCATAGTTCTATTGGCTTTTGTATGTTACAATTCCGAGTTGAATTTTCGGTAACAGCGATTCGATTTTACAAAAAATCGATGATTTATATTCTTCAGAGGCTTCTGCTTTTAAGTAATATAATCAATAAAAGTTATGCCGTCGAATTTCTTGAGTTTTCATAAAATTATGTAAGGCAGAGGGCAACAGATATAAAAAAAATTACCATGACTTTCTAAAATAAATAGGTCTAAAATAATTTTATTCATTTGTGAATAAGTTCAGAAAGTTCCATTAAAATCCGGCAATTATTTGATTTTTACGAGAATTTCCAAATCAATGTTTTTTACCTGAAAAATGGCGCTAAAACGCAAATGATAAATATTACGTAGATCACTGACGTTAAAAAATATCAAAATTTTTAACCAAAATTTCGAACGCGCTAGAAAAGAGGAACAAATTTAATACAATAATCAAAAATACTTTGGTCTTTTCTCTTAATAATAATAATAGGAATTTTGACAATAAAATTTTGTTTTTATTAAGTTTGGGTCCTTTTTCTCATCATACTGCACTGTTTTTTTTGGGTTTTTTTTCGATTTTCGACGAATTAGTGGACAATCTTAAACTAGAGAATCCCCATAGGTTACTAAACGTTGTATTTTTATTATAATTAAAGTATAATTAGTGACTATCTTGCCATAGATTATAAGATTTTAGAAAACATATAGCGACTTGGACAACGTTTGAAAACTAAACGTTACTAAATTTTGAATTGACTTTCTTCTTATTCATAGCCGAAGTTGATCATTATCATGTCAAGTCTATGCTGACCTCGGAGACGCTACAGATAACTTGTCAACCAACAATTTTCTCCCCCCCTCTCTCTCTCTCTCCCTCTATCTATCTATCTATCTATCTATCTATCTATCTATCTATCTATCTCGTTCTCCAGGCATTGGTCAATGTCATTGCACCCACCCCCCCCTCCAACCATACCCTTTCGCTACCGTTCTTTTCAATTCCCTCTGTGCCTTACAGGATTGTCTAGGCATGTTCTTCTCATACTGTGACGTGTGCCCACAGCATTTTAATTTATATCTCTTCTCTGTGAATTTCGAGATTTCCATTTTAGCTGATGCCTTTACTAGATCAGTTCAAGTTTGCTCAGCTTATTTTCTAAAGTAGTCCCAAATAACGACATCCAAAATTTAATCACGGTGGGCTTTCAAAAGTTACCCTCCTCCATAATCTGACAGTCCATGTTTTAAAAGTTGGGATATGTATGGCATCTACGATTTCAAAAAGTGAGGATCAATTTATGATTTGTTTCTATAAAACAAAATCGATTCTCCAATTAATATTCACTTGTTTGTTAATCGATAATCTGCAAGCAGATTGAGGACTACACATAGAAAACTGTGTTATGTATGAAAGACCAATGCTGGTAAATTATGCATTAATTCATTTCTCATTATGAGTAAAGCAAGGGTTCTTTTTTTTGGGGGGGAGGGGAAGCTTGTTTTAAGCAAAGTAATTTTTCCATGCTGGATTTGGAATAATATTTATTTAATCATTTCACTCCAAGCAAGGCGAGAATGCCACTAAGACGCAAGGGCTTATTGGGAGTGAAAGAGAATGAGAAGACTTTTATGAGGAGAAATGAGGATAAAAGACAATAAAAGAATATGTTTCAGGAAGACAAAAGATGGCGATTGGCGATGCATTTAAAATTTTGAATGTTGTAGGTGACAGGAAATGAAGAAATCGGAAGTGGCTTTCAAAGAGGAGAAAAGAAGCTCTTAAAATAGAAGCCATGGTTGCCAATCTAATATGACGCTTACATTTTTGCAGCCGAGGTACATAAGAGGAGAAATCATCAGAAAAATTGCCATGAAAATATTTATAGAAAAGACAGAAGGAAGCCACGTTACGTCAGTGAGAAAGTGTCTGAAGTCGAGATAGCAATTCAGGGTCGATTATATTACAGATCCTTCTTGGATTTTGTCAAGACTCTCGAGATGTATAGCAGGAGCACCAGACCAGATATGGCAACAATATTCCATGCACAGAAGAATGGTAGATTTATAAATGTGCAAGATGGATTCTGGTGCGAAAAATTGTCTGGTACGATACAGCGAATCCACTAGCAACAAACATGGCAGTAGATACAATAGAATCATTTCACTTCATGTCTGAAAAACCTGAGTCCAAGAAAGATCAAATAATTCCTCTCCTGGGTTGCCAAATTGACTTTAATTGTCTTTAGGCATGAAAAGAAAAGTTTGGTTGGAAGCATTGTTCTGAGAGTCTTCTCACTCTGGTATTTCTTTAGACCATTTCATTACATGTCCAACGAAAATGAAATTTCTTTTTAAGCAAAACAATCAAAAATCCAAGATGAAGTTATTTTTAAAAATTCGACCAAAAGTCGCAAGTCGTGGAATTCAAATTTTAACAGCGCTCGGTTTTAATAAAAACTTGATTCAGTGAAATCTGGTCTCTCTCGCAGATAATTGTAAGCCTCGATGGAATTCACCGCAATTACTATATTATGTCACACTAAACTGAGTAAATATGAAAAAAATATTTTCTAATGCAAATCAATTGCATAAGACAGGCATTTCAAACTTCAGATCAGTAGTCCCTACCGTGTTTATCATCGACTAAACACTTTCTCTTGTTAGAATTGAATTATAAAAAAAAATAGACTCGATGCCAGGTTTGCACAAAATACGGCCAAGGAGCCACATGTGGCTCATAAGTCGGCTCACAATGCGGACTGCGAAGACTTTTTCAAAATAGTACCATTTTCTGTTCATCGGAAGAGATTCGACGACAAATTCGGTTTTGTGGAAGCGAGACTTTATTCGACCAATATTTCATTATTCTTGCATTTAGCTAGTCTTTTTAAATCACCGTAGAAAAAGAAAAAAATTCTCATCGTCCCTTCTCTCTATATATATGTTTATATCTCCCTCCTCTCTATATATCTGTTTCTATCTCCCTTCTCTATATATCTATTTCTATGTCCCTCTCTATATATCACTTTCTATCTCCCTCCTTTCTATATATCTGTTTCTATATTTATCCATCTCTATATATCACTTTCTATCTCCCTCCTCTCTATATATCTGTTTCTATCTCCCTCTCTATATATCACTTTCTATCTCCCTCCTTTCTATATATCTGTTTCTATCTCCCTCTATATATATCACTTTCTATCTCCCTCCTTTCTATATATCTGTTTCTATATTTATCCATCTCTATATATCACTTTCTATCTCCCTCCTCTCTATATCTTTGTTTCTATCTCCCTCCTCTCTCTATATCTGTTTCTATATTTATCCATCTCTATATATCACTTTCTATCTCCCTCCTCTCTATATCTTTGTTTCTATCTCCCTCCTCTCTCTATATCTGTTTCTATATTTATCCATCTCTATATATCACTTTCTATCTCCCTCCTTTCTATATATCTGTTTCTATCTCCCTCTCTATATATCACTTTCTATCTCCCTCCTTTCTATATATCTGTTTCTATATTTATCCATCTCTATATATCACTTTCTATCTCCGTCCTCTCTATATCTTTGTTTCTATCTCCCTCCTCTCTTTATATCTGTTTATATCTCACTCATACTCAGTCTTATTTCAGTTTTCCTTCTATCTGTTATCCCTATTTTCTTATATGTAACGTTCCCGCCTAAACTTTGTAATTTTATTTACTTTTATTTTTTTCTTCCAAAGGAGTAGATAGTTTCACATATCGTCCTGTTTCACTCTTTCCCGGTCTTTTGAACAGGTGCTGAGGTTCCTGTTAATGATTGGAGTTCCAGCGCCTAAAGTTTTCTCATTCTTTTTCACTCTCAGTGTCCCCCTTGCGTCTTAGTGGCATTATCGCCTTGCTTGAGGTAAATTAATTATAAGAAAACATTGAAAAATTACACTTGCTACTAATTTTCTGGTATCAAAGTTAACCTTCCCAATTTTTATTTATACAGACCTGTTTTAAGAAAAGAACTAAAAACAAAAATGTGTAAAAATCTTATAGGGTCACTATCAGAAAAATAGAAATCTTGAATAGAAAACTGAGTCAGTGGATCAGATAAATATTTTATTTTTATTTTGTTTCGTGTAATCAAAATGAAAAGACGGACATCTCATTGACAAATTAATGGCAACTATTGTTGGTCAGTCGGCCATTTTTGATTTGATGATTTTAGGTTTGCGTTGTTAGAACTCAAAAACGAAACTGGACAATTACTGATCCAAAACGACCACTAATGATGGCCTCGGTAGAACATCGTCTCTTAGAAATTGTGCCGCTTTAAATCAACTTTTATTTTTATTTTTCATTTATTCGATTTTCTTTCTGGCTCTTTCGCCACAACCGCACTCTTTCATTTTCTCTCGTTGTCTTCATTTAAACTTTTCAAATCTCTTCCTCATCATCCCTTCTTTTTTTTTTTTCTTTTTTTTTTTGTTTTCTTGTCTCTATTTTTTTATCCGGCATTTTTATTCGATTTTTAAAACTAACTGCTCAAAACTTGGTAGAAGCTATGAATCTAATTTTTAGTATCAATACTTACCACATCAAACTCCAACTTTTACATTGAGTTCAATGTTGATTTCTTGAAAAAAAGTGAAAAATTAACCTGTAGTAATACTCAGTGTGGCCTGCGTAGGCTTTTTCAAAATTGTATCTTTTCTGTGTTCATCAGAATAAGTTCGGCGCCTGATTGTAGACAGAAAATTCAGTTTTCTGGAAGTGCGGCATTATTCGACCAATATTTCACTGCCATTGGATTCAAAATCGCTTCTTATATTCATCATCGTTTTCTTCTCTCTCTCTGTCTGACACTTTCTGATCTTATTCTTAAATTGTACAGAGTTTTTAACATAATAATATTAAACTTTTTCCTTTCCTTCTATTCACTTCTCATCTTCTCTTTCATTTCTCTCTCTGTTTCTCTTCATTCACTTCTCTTTCCTTTCTCTCTGTTTCTCTTCATTCATTTCTCTTTCCTTTCTCTCTCTGTTTCTCTTCATTCATTTCTCTTTCCTTTCTCTCTCTGTTTCTCTTCATTCATTTCTCTTTCCTTTCTCTCTCTATTTCTCTTCATTCACTTCTCTTTCCTTTCTCTCTGTTTCTCTTCATTCATTTCTCTTTCCTTTCTCTCTCTGTTTCTCTTCATTCATTTCTCTTTCCTTTCTCTCTCTGTTTCTCTTCATTCACTTCTCTTTCCTTTCTCTCTATTTCTCTACATTCACTTCTCTTTCCTTTCTCTCTCTGTTTCTCTTCATTCATTTCTCTTTCCTTTCTCTCTCTGTTTCTCTACATTCACATTTTTATTCTCTACTCATTTTTTTCCTCTTTTTCCTTCTCTAATTCTTTTCATTCTTTTTTCATCATCTATTTTTTATTTCTCTCTTTTCATTCGTTTCTCATACTTTCTTTTCTCTTTTCTTCTTTTTCATTCTCTCCCCATTAGTTTCTCGTCTCAAAGACTCATCTGAACGTGTTTATCACGGTTTTATCCATCATCCAATAGAATTGAATCTATGTCGACAGCCAAACATTGCTTTTTTTTCTTTCCTCTCCAAAACAAAGAACTGTTCGTCGGCTTTGTTCCAAAATACCATCTTCCTCAAAGAATTACCTTCCAGAAATGATCGCCACAAGTGAAGTCGACAAACAAAGCCACCAAGACCATCATATGATTCTATATACTTTGTAGTTTTCTTCGGAGAGGGAAACAGACCATCGCACCCCCACAAAAAAAAATAGACAATAATGTGACATACTGACCTTTTAACACTGCGTTTATTTTCTCTGTTGCAATAAACATAAGTCTTTTGTGGATTTTGAGTCAGTCAGCCATTTTAGGTGCGGAGAAATGTTTGATGAGTTTTTAAAAAAATAACTGCGTCAAAAGAACTTGCGGCATTAAATGTTCGATATTTTTAACAGAATGTCGTTTTAGTGCACCTCATCTCGAAATAATGATTCCCAAGCTACTTGGTTCGATCAGTACAGTGAGTTCGATCCTCACTTTTGCCAAAGCCGTGTCACGTATAATCAATAAGTACCATCGTTGGATTCACAAACTTCTCATGAGAATAATGTTTGCTTTTTAGATCGAATTTTAAATTTGCATTTTATTTTTTAAGGTTTTGGTTGGTTTCTTTAGATGAATTAAAAAATATTTGGCATTTGGGCGGAATTTTTTTTTTTTATATAGGCGCCAAATATTTTCAGAAAGCAATCAGATATTACAAGGATGTTTTCTGTACATTTGCGAGCAGTTCTAACTACAAACATGTACAGGGTGTCCATATAGTCTCTTTATAATTTAAAAATATATTACAAAAGCAATTGATGAAATCAGAGTTGTTCAATGTACTCAATAATTATCAATGTACTTAATCACAGTGCATTTGTGTATTTCAGGGTACCCTGTTGATGAAAAAGGTACAGTTAAATGAACCCCTAATATTTCCAGACCGGTTGATTGGAAGGGATTGCCCAATTCCCAAGCCATCTCGTTCACCAGATATCACACCCCTGGACTTCGTTCTATAGGGTCATGTTGAAGATATCTTGTATCGAACAAATATACGGAACAAAGCAAAAAATCACTGATGCCATTGCCACCATTGATGAGACTATGTTACAGCAAATATGGCAAGAAATCGAGTACCATCTTGATGTGCTTCGTGCAATTAATGGCGCCCATACAGAGGTGGATTAAATTAGTTCAAAAAACTTCAGTATCTATTCATCATTTTTGTAACAATTTTCACATATTTGTCTGTTTATTTGCTTTTGTAATATGTTTTTTTAAATTGTCAGGAGACTTTATGGACAGTCTGTATATTGCATCAGCTATTAAAGCCAATTTTATAATAGAATCATCGTTGTAGTTTTTTTTTTTATGAAATTTTAATAAACTAACATTTTTATTCTTTCTTCTCTTTTATGCTTATTTTCAGCAATCTCCTTTTCTTTTTTCTTTTTTTTTTTTTTTTTTTTTTTTTTTTCGTGTCATCTGCCTGGTTAATTCTTTATCTTTCTATAAATTCTCTTTATTTTCCTTCTAATCTTCTTAATGTTACAGTTTTGTTGGACAGACACATTTAGTTAACCATAACCCCACAACCCCTAATACTCTCATTTCTGGAGGACATGAAAACACGCATAAAATGCGTTTCTTTCAAGAAGGAATAAAAGAATTAGTTTTATTTTCATTGGTAATAATAATTCTGATTACGATATTAACAAATAAATTTAATTTTTGTTAATGCGACGCTTACGCCCAGATCACATTGAAACAATGGTTCCCGTACGATCAGCGAAGTTAAGCAACGTCGAGCTTGGTTTGTACCCAAATAGGTGACTGTTTTAAAGCATACCACGTACTGTAGTATAGATAATGTCTCGAAATTGTCAATCGCATAGCCGAGCTCCAATTCTGGTTGGGTTCGTTATATTCACTTACACGCAAATGCCCTTGGAAAATAAATGAATCTACATATTGTACCTCCAGCTATGGGTTAATTAGTAAGAATTGTATCACTCAACCATTATTATCTCAAAATATTTCTTACAATCTAAAATATTCTCTGGCTTTAAATAACCTGCAATGATTTGATATATCGTAGAAAACGAGTCAATCAAAAAAAATCAATCAAAATGCAAAATTATTTTCTAAACAATATAATAATTAGAGAAAATGATGCTTTCTAAAATTTGCAAATTAATTGATCTGGTTCGATTGATAGATATTTTTCTTTGCAATAATTTCGTTATATCTGTGCAACTGAAGCATATGGACTCTCCATGAACGTGCTTTGTCCACTTTGTCCAATATACCCTTGGTTTTTAACCTTGTAAAACTACTCCTTTTTGTCGTTAGGCTTGTAAAAATACTCCTCTGGTTGGTAACCCTGTAAAAGATCCATTCTCTTGCTTTCAAGCCTCTAAAAATACTCCCTTTTAAAATAGTCCCTTTTGTTATAAAACTTGTAAGATAATCCCTATAGTTCTATGCTAGAAAAATACTCCCACTGGCTTTGACATTTTTTACAGCTTCTAAAATACTCCGTCTATTTGCTAGGTGTGTAAAAGTACTCCATCTGGTACACGTGACCTGCGAAAAATACTTCCTCTGGCTGTCAAACTTCTAGCATACTAACTCTGGTGACAAGACCTGTAGAAATACTCCCTCTAGCTATCAGGCATGTAAAGAATACTCCGATTGCCAGGTATGTAAAAATACTTCTTTGGTTGTCAGGCTTGTAAAAAATACTCTTCTGGTTGTCCGCGTCCTGTACAAAATACTCACCCTAGCTGTCAATTTTGTCGAGCTTGTAAAAGGCGTTAAAAAGCCAACGAGTTATACAACAGACTTTTGAAGATGACGATGTGTCACTAGGCTTTCCTTGGATAATTGACTCCATTACAAAACTATAAAAGCTTTTAAGTTTCATTTTTAAATGAAAGTGTAAATTTGGATCCATTAAGGAGTTATTGATATACGTCTGGTATGACTGTCTCTGGCCATTATTTAGCAATCGATGTGTTATAAATCTGTATTCATTTATTTAAAAAGCAAGAATTTAAAATAATTCCCCACTTAGAAACAGTGGAATATATTTTTTTATATATTTTTCTCCATTTACAACAGAGCAAATCTAGATAAATGATTTTTATTTGTCGAGCATAACATCGGTTTCTTTTGTGTGATATTCTAATAAGCGAAACGATCACGAATTGGACCAGCTGCCGGCCTTTTCACAACAAAGTACGAGATTTGCACACGTTCTCATCTGACAAAAGACTACGGATGTCGGTCACGCTGCGTGACTTGTCCGAAGCAAAAATCGATTGATTAATTTTTTTTATTTAATTTCTGATATGAAGAATTACCAATATTATACACTGATTTAGTCGAAGAAGTCTCCTCATCTTCACAACAACTTCTTCAAATCTCTGTTGTATTTGGCAATTTTCTAGGAATTTCTAACCAAGCATTTTATTCGTTCCATCGGAGTAAACTGTTCCCATTTTTCTTGTAATGTTATCATTGTAAAGAGTAATAAAACGAAACTAAAAATCCCATATATAAAATTATGGTTTATTCACTACAAGAATGAATATCGATGTAAAGGTATGCGGTTTGTGTGGGAAAAGCTTTCTCCGAACGTAGAATTTTTTTCTCTTGAAGCTGGAGGAGATTCTAACAACAATGGAGAACTTTTGTATAAATTCTTCCTACTCCATACTTAATATATTCCACATTTAACACATGGTTTGATCACCCTATGAAACACAGTATCACATCGCATAGCCGAGATAACATAACAAAAAGATTATTGACTCTTGAATTAGGCAGTTTGCGACAGATGTTTGCGTACACAACTCCTACTTTGAATCAAATCACAGACTACTTGTAACTAAACTAACAACTTGTAACTAAAACAGCTACCAAAATAGCTCGCTCCCACCCACATAAACCACGCAAAACATCAAGGTTATCAGTTATCTCCTGTTAATTTCCCTCTGAAAGTTCTCCACTGCCTTAACCGGATATTGAACTCACACACTTTGGGACCTGTCACGGGATCTAACTAACACCTTTATCCACTGTGCCATGTGTCCTTGAGAGATGGGAATTAACAGCAGATAACTGACAACTGACATCCATTAAAATATGGCACGTGGAACTAGAACGGTCTACCCCAGTGCGCGAAATAAAGGGTTCAGTTCGACATTCCAGCCACCTGAAGAAGGCCGGAGCGTACAACGACTGAAACGTTGTAATAAATATGGCGATAAAGATGAAGACAATAGTCCGAATAATGTAAATAATGTAAATAAAGAAACGAATAAATATTTGGGACATATTTTTCGGTGTGGTCAAGTTCTGTCCAACCATTTTACACACGATGTTACTTTGGACTCATCTGAAGTCTATCGTAAAAAATATCAAGATGTAGAATCTTGTCTAACCCGCTAACAACAACCTGTTCTACATAATGACTGGGGTGTTCGAAAGATAAACTGCGCGGAAAATTCTTTGTCCTTGAGGCCAATTCTGTTTGTAACAATGTGGTAACGTCGTTTACTAAGACTGTTTGTCCTTGTGTTTACTAGGTGTTATGTGATTCTTGATATGGACGACGCAACAGAAGGAATTCTATGGAAACGCAAAGTTTACCTCTTCACAAGTGATTTTTTTCTTTAAGCATCCGCTTAAAGTCAAGATCAAGACAGAAAAGCTACGACTCAGAAATTGGTAAAATATAGGTTAGTCTTTGGTGTCTGTGACGAGTAAAAGAAGGTAACTTGGGGTGGAATTTTGATGCCGGTAATAAACATTGGCAACCCCGCCCAAAATTGGTTAGTTTAAGCTTGTTTTGCTTTTAGTTATTTACGCCAAGTTAAGTTAGCTAGGGGATATATGCTCATTTGTCCCTTTTATTTTTGTCCCCACTTTCTTTAGTTTAGTTGCCCA